TAGGCCGGGTGTGGTGGCTCACGCCTGTAATCTCAGCACTTTGGGAGACCAAGGCAGGCGGATCACCTGAGGTCAGGAGTTCAAGACCAGCCTGGCCAACATGGTGAAACCCTGTCTTAAAAAAATAAAAATAAAAAAATAGAAAAAAAATTAGAACTTACACGCTTTGCAAATATTATCCAATTGAGAATTATTCTGAATACCAAAAAGTAGCTTTTCTGTACCAAACTGCAGAAGTTTACCTACATTTTTATTTCTATTACAACTTAAACAGGAAATAAAAATATAAGGCAATAAACTTTAGGAAAAGCAAAAGCTTTTTTCATTTTTTTTTGTGCGTGTTCAAGAACGACTAACCTAATGAATAATCACCAGTGGTATACTGGAACAACGGTTACTTCCGGGAGATGAGAGTATTAACTGGCAATGACCATGAGGAAACCCTCTCAGATACTGGAAACACTCTGTATCTTTATCTGGGTGATGGTTCCACTGTCATCTGTCACTCTTTCTACACATGCATATTTGTAAAATTCATTGAACTATACGCATAAGATTAATGCACCTTATACACTTTAATCAATGTATGTTAGAGCTCAATAGTAACCGCTCAAAAAACACTCCACAGCTAGTAGTTTCACATACACACCAGGCTGTATTTGCCTGCTTACACACAACTGTTAGAATGTAAGCCACAGGAGGCCAGGTGCAGTGGCTCACGCCTGTAATCCCAGCGTTTTGGGAGGCCAAGGAGGGCAGATTACTTGAGGTCAGGAGTTGGAGACCAATCTGACCAACATGGCAAAACCCAGTATCTACTAAAAATAAAAAAAAAAAATTAGCCAGGCATGGTGGCTTGTGCCTAGAATCCCAGCTACTTGGGAGGCTGAGACATGAGTATCGCTTGAACATGGGAGGCTGAGGTTGCGGTGAGCCGAGATTGTACCACTGCACTCCAGCCTGGGCAACACAGTGAGGCTCCGTCTCAAAAAAAAAAAAAGAATGTAAGCCACAGGAGAGTTTTTTAATCTTTTGTTCACTGAGTATTCCCTGCACCTAGAAGAGGCCTGGCACAGAGGAGGTGCTGATGAATATGTGTTCAAATAAATGCCTCAACCTGGTTATTCCAACGCCTCAGCCCCTTCCCTCTCCCATTCACCTGGCTTGCACTCACTGATTCTTCAAGACTCCTCGGCACTGGGGCTGTATCCACCCTCAAATATTCTCTGTCCTCCCCAGGCTGGAGTTAACATTGCTTCTCTACGTTGCCACACAGTGTTTACCTCCAGTACTGAATTAATTATAATCAGTGGAAATTATCTGTGTAAATGTCTTCCCATTAGGTGGTGTCTCTATTTAGATATAAGGAAATTGAGCTTTAGAAAGATTATGTAATTATACAAGATCATGAAGTTAGTAAGTCAGGAACTAAACCGAGGTTTGTCAATGCCAAAAACTGTGCTTTTGACACCAGGCTGGTTCTCCTCTTCGTTAAGGAACAGTGTCCACAGAAACTCGATTCAATGTTAAAAACACAAGCCATTGTGCTTCTTTAGACCCTTGGACATGGCCTTTCAGGCTGATGTTGCTTGCCCACCTGTTCCTTCCCTTCCAGACCTCTCCTCACTTGTTCTTCAATAAATTTGGCAGTTTTTTCTTCATCATCAAGGTCCTGCTTTTTCTTTTTCTCCAGTTCCAGCTGCCGGCGGATAGTTTCTGGGTCCCTGTCTATGTACTGAATATACCAGCCTTTTGGCGTCTCGTCCACTTTGCACAAGCCTTAAAAACACAGCAGCCACCATAAATTAGCATACAATCAAAGCGAAACATAAATATAAATGTGTTTCATATCTGCATATTTATTCATTCAAACACACTCAAATCAGGCTGAGTGCAGTGGCTCCAGCCTGTAATCTCAGCCCTTTGGGAGGCCAACGCGGGTGGATCCCCTGAGGTTAGGACTTTGAGACCAGCCTGGCCAACAAGATGAAACTCTGTCTCTACTAAAAATACAAAAATTATCTGGGTGTGGTGGTGCACACCTATAATCGCAGCTACTCAGGAGGCTGAGGCAGGAGAACTGCTTGATCCCAGGAGGCAGAGGTTGCAGTGAGATGAGATCACGCCACTGCACTCTAGCCTGGGGAACAAACGAGACTCAGTCTCAAAAACAAAACAAAACAAAACAAAACACCAGATACACTCAAATACATTCAAATACAAAAATTCATGCAGTGTATGGAATTTTCCATATTTACACTTAATGAAATTAAGATACTGTATGTGGATTCAACCTAGGATCAGAAATATTCAAAAAAAGAAAAATGGATGGTCACATCTGCACTGAACATGCACTGACATTTCTTCCTTGCCATTTTTTCCTAACGACAGAGTATAAAAACTATTTACATAGCATTTACATTGTATTAAATATTATAAGAAATCTGGAGATGATTTAAAGTATGCAGGAGGATGTACACAGGCTAAATGCAATTACTACATCATTTTATTTTATTTTTGTTTGTTTGTTTTGAGATGGAATCTCACTCTGTTACCAGGCTGCAGCGCAGTGGCGCAGGGTGTGCTCACTGCAACCTCCGCCTCCCAGGTTCAAGCGATTATCTTGCCTCAGCCTCCCAAGTAGCTGGGACTTCTGGTGCGCACCACCACGGCTGGCTAATTTTTGTATTTTTAGTAGAGACGGGGTTTCACCATGTTGGCCAGGATGGTCTCGATCTCTTGAACTTGCGATCCGCCTGCCTCAGCCTCCCAAAGTGCTGGGATTACAGGCGTACACCCCTGTGCCTGGCCCATCATTTTATTTTATATAATGGACTTGAGTATCTGTGGATTTTGATACCAGCAGGGGGTCCTGGACCCAATATCCCAGGGATATGGAGGGACAACTGTATTATCTTGTGTAATATTTATTCAATTCTATCTAAGTAGTTAATATCCAGTGGTTATATGATGTTTTATTAACTTAATACAGAAATTATGCTCCCAAAATGGAATCAAGTAACACGACAAATAAAACATTGACCCAATTTGTTTTCTCTTTTCTTTTTCCAACCGTCTCATCCTATGAAGATTAGAAATGGGAAAGAAAAAGCAACTTTAAAATCTCATTCGTACCTTCTCTGCCCAGCCACTTGGTAAAATCGGTCAGAGTTTCCCATTGAGTGGCATTCATGTGGATGTGTTCTCGGTGGCTGATGTATTCATTGTAGACAATGTTGTTGTGGACCCTTTTAGTGCCTGAGAACAAAATATGACACTGATGATCCTGAGAAGACTATGTGATTTATAAAGTTATCATTTGCACAACACTTAAAATCTTTACCAAAGCGTCTCCTGAGAAGTTCTAGGAAGTCATTTCGGAATTCCCTAATAAAGAAAGAAAGGAAAACATTAAGGTAACTTCTACAAACATATAGCATTATCTTTGCAGTAGTACAGTTTTTTGCTTTCGTTTTTGTTTTTGAGACAGAGTCTCATTCTTGTCACCCAGACTGGAGAGTGATGGTGCGATCTCTGTTCTCTGCAACCTTCGCTTCCCGGGTTCAAGCAATTCTCTTGCCTCAGCCTCCCAAGTAGTTGGGATTACAGGTGCCCACCACCATATCTGGCTAATATTTTTTGTGTTTTTAGTAGAGACAGGGTTTCACCATCTTGGCCAGGCTGGTCTTGAACTCCTGACCTCCTGATCTACCCACCTCAGCCTCCCAAAGTGCTGAGATTACAAGCATGAGCCACCGCACCTGGCTTTTTAGTGCCATTTTACAGATGAGGAAAATAAACCACAGAAAAACTTAAGTAGGTCATCCAAAGGCATACAGTTTTTAAGTGGAGAAGGATTTGAGTTTGGGCAGTCTGAATGCAGAGCCTATGTTCTTTGTCACAATTGTGTTAGAATGAAAGACAGTTTCCCATATTTGAAGTGGAAGAAAGGAAAAACTAAGTTGTGAGAAATAATTTTGTAAGAGTTTTATACTATGATTAACCTTCAAAAGAAGATAAAAATTAGGCCAGGCGCGGTGGCTCAAGCCTGTAATCCTAGCACTTTGGGAGGCCGAGGCGGGTGGATCACGAGGTCAAGAGATCGAGACCATCCTGGTCAACATGGTGAAACCCCGTCTCTACCAAAAATACAAAAAATTAGCTGGGCATGGTGGTGCGTGCCTGTAATCCCAGCTACTCAGGAGGCTGAGGCAGGAGAATTGCCTGAACCCAGGAGGCGGAGGTTGCATTGAGCCGAGA